TGTGTGTGTGTGTGTGTGTGTGTGTGTGTGTGTGTGTGTGTGTGTGTGTGTTTAAAGCTGCTTCGGGCTCAAAAATCTGTAACATTCCAAACTTTGAACCTATTTCCTCCTCTGTCATATAGTTTTTCCTTAAAAATATAATATGTGGGTTTGGGGTGATGGTTCAGTTGTTAAAATGCTTTCTACACAAACATGACGCTCTGAGTGCAGAGGACCCAGCAACCATGTTTAAAAAACAAATGTGGTGTGATCATTCATGTTAGGTCTCAAACCCAGGACTAATGGCTGAAGTGCCTATTTAACACTTCAAAGAGGACCTGGTATTGTGGGTTATTAATATTTATTATTGAATTATCTTTAGTTAGGCAGTGGTTATTCTTAATCCAGCTGTATAGCCAATCACCACACAGAGACTAGGATTTATTTAATTAACCTAGAGCACATTGCTGGGCAATAGTTACTCCATCTTAAACCTCCAAGCCTGCATAGTTTCCTCCCATTCAGATTTCCCACATTATACTTGCTTTTAGTCATATCTTAGGTCCGGTTCATCTCTCCAGGTGGTTCCAAGTCTTCTCCTGTTGATCTCTCCTCTCCCGACTCCTCCCACTCCCTTCCTTCTCCTCCCCTCCGGATCAGGATGTCCCACCCTATTCTCTCCATTGCCAGCACTGGCTGGAGGTTTTATTGACAATACAGAGAACAAATGGTGGCATGTTTACTGGCATGTTTACACAAACTTGAGGCAGGTGATGCTTAGAATAAACATCACAATGCAATGTCCGGATTGAAATCAGATAGTGGGGTAGAGAAATCAGCATTTGAACAAACAAGGGTAAATTGTGTACATTCCACAAGAACGTTATACCAACAACCTGGTCTGCAGGTTCTCCTTGAACCCCTCAATGCCTAAACTCCTCAAACCCAGGGGCTGGGCTGCCCTTACCGATGTAATCCGGCCTTGTTACTCCAGTCCCAACCCCCACCCTGGGCCCTTTTGATCTAAGCTTTATCCTCCTGGCCTCCTGAGCTGGCTCTCCCCTTTTCCCTCTCTCCTCTCCTCACCTAGCCTGGCTCAGTTGGGCTGTGTTCACTCGGGACTCATGTCTCTGCCTTTGATTATGCTCTCCCTTTTCTCTACAATAAACTTTCTCCTCCAACACTCTGTAGGTGCAGTCCTGTGCTTCCTTTTTATTTCTTTGTTTCGTTCAGACCACAAGTCTGTAACCCAGGGTCCAGAGGGTCCCTGCAGAGCACTGGCTAACCAGTCTAGCCACCTGGGAAGCTCTACCTCAAAAAATGAAGTGGAGCCGGGCATGGTGGTGCACGCCTGTAATCACAGCACTCAGGGAGGCAGAGATAAGTGGATCTCTGAGAGTTTGAGGCCAGCCTGGTCCACAAATGGAGTCCAGGACAGACATGGCTACACATAGAAACAGGAAAATAAATAAATAAATAAATAAGTAGAATGAAATGGACTCCCACTTTGTCCCTCACCACCTGCCCCTGCAGCAGTCAGGAGAGCTAGCCCTGGCCTAGGTCATGAGAGCAGGTGAGCTGGTCCTCACTAGCTATGTGGCACTCGGGAGAGCAGGCCTTCACCTCAGCTGGCATGACAACAGGAGAGCTGACCCTGCCTGCAGCCTGTGGCAGCCCAGGGTGGCCTAGCCGGAGCAGTGCTGGAGAGCTGGCCCTGGTGGTACAGATAAGGGAGAGCCGGCATGTTGTCCAGCTCAGCTACCACCCAGGCCCAGAACCACGGCTTTGACTTGGCCCACCCCAACATCTACTTTCTCTATGAGCTGCTAGAGTGCATGAAAGGGCCAGTCTTGCCAACTAAAGTGACTGGAGGCCAACAAAGGCCAACAACAGAATATCCAGGAGGAGTGACAGTGAGGATCCAAAATATTGATGGTGTCACAAAAGCCAGAGACCTTGAACCAGACCAATGACTCATTACATTGAACATTTACAAGTGAAGATGTATAGACAAAGGAATATACTGTGGGACCCACTGTGACACACTACAGCTTCCATGACTGGAGGTGTTCCATGCTTTGTTTTGTTTATTTGTGTGTGTGTGTGTGTGTGTGTGTGTGTGTTATTTGGTGGGGGGAGGGGAGGTTGCAAGGGCAGAAGTCGGGCAGATACAAGGTGATGGGGAGATGAGTGGGACTCAGGTATGTGATATGAAACTCACAAAGAATCAATAAAAAGAAAAAAAAAAAGGTGGAGAGGGACTGAAGAAGACATCTGACACAGGCTGCCAGCTTCCAGACCCACGGGCACCGGTACAGACGAATTCACAAGGTAATCCTGTCTCTATCATTTCAGTCTGCTGGAAGAGCGACCAGGTGACAAATGAGAGGTGACAAGAAAAAGATTTCCCCATTTCCTGCAGGGTATGAAAACACCCCCACCAGGCTCGGGACGATGGCAGCCTGAAGCCTCTACTCTGTCATTCTCCCTTCTTGGCCTCTAATGTCCATCTAATCTGTGTCCACTCTAGGGAGCAATCGGAACAGTTCTGTGTCCGGGTGCTGCCTGATAGTATCAAAGCCTTGTCCTGTAATGAAAAGCCTGATATTGACACCCGGCAGGCCAGATGCTCCGCTGAGTCTCAGGAGAGAGTGAATGTCAGGTGCTGACTGTCGGCAGGGAAGAGAGCCAGCAATCGCCTGAGAACTAAGGCCTGAATCTTGCCAGGGACCTGCCTCCACCAGTTCTGTGGTATTGGAAAAGTCACCTAACTCTTTTGGACTTGGTTTTGTGTTTGTAACTGACACACACCTGTAACCCCAGCACGTGGGTGGTAAAAGCAGAAGTAGATGTTCAAAGGTTATCCTCTATTATCTGGTGCGTTCAAGGCCATCCCGGGATACAGGAGACTGTGTATCAAAAACTTCATAAATAAATAGAATAAAGCCTTGGTAAACGTTTCTTTCTGGGGCTCTATGTGCTGATACAAGCACCTTAGGTAAAGCAACCCTCCTGCCCTCTTTCACAAGTCTCTTTCCCATATTCAGCTAATCTCATAAACAAATTAATATTAGAACAAAGACCTGATGCCTCAGGTGGATGAGTCCACTCTTTCCTGGTTCTCCTCCCGGTGTTTGCAAATTCCTTTTAAGGCATGAGCCAAAGCTAAAGTCTGTCCTATGTTGTTCTGTTTGACCATGGTGCTCTGTGGGTCCCACAGGTAGCTGTAAACTCCCGGAGGCTGTAAACTTCACTGCTGGGCACCTTCCACCAAGGACTGGAGTGATGGGACTGCTAGGCAGAGCCAGGTTACCAATAGTTGAAGTTGGAACATACATCACAGTTACATACCATTTAAGTGAAAGACGGATTCTGTTTAAGGGATTGCTCTTTGTCTAAGGAGAAAGAGCTGGGAGTGAGATACCAAAAAGCTATGAATAGCCAAGGTGCAGCTCCCCCTCGGAATCAAAATCACAAAATCACCCGATTTCCTGGCTCTCCTTCTCACGGAGACCGGAGTGGGCAGGGTGAATCAGGAGCAGTGGGAGAGAAGAGAACCGGAGGCATGAGCGGTCTGATCCTTCCCAGGCCCTCCAGGGCCCACTCCCAAGATCTCTCACTGGGTGTTAGGAAGCCACAGAGAGAAGCTTTGTTTTCATGGCACACAGTATTAATCACAAGTTGGAATAGCTCCCAGCTGAGCATTTGATGTGGAATGAGATGTGAATCTGAGAGAAGAATCACTACTGTCCCCCAAATTCTAGTCCTGAGTGGGACCAGAAAGAGCGCTTGCTAACGAGTCCGGACATGAGGTCTGTCTGTGACCAAGCCCACTCCCCTCCAACTCATAGACTGTCCACTTCCTCACCTGCAGGATTCTAATCCCAAGAGGCCCCTTTTTGTAAGTGTGGAGAAACTGTGAAAACACTGGTTTCTGGGTTCCATCCCTACCGTTTCTGCTTTGCATTTCTACTAGGTTTCCAGGTTGCTGAAGGCTGGTCTGGGGAAGACAGCGCACAGATGCCTGTGGTTCTGGAGTGCTACAGGAAGCAGAAACCATCCCACGCTGCACTTCCGGTTTGCACATGGTCACTGTGCTTTCCCTTGCTGTTCCACACTGCTGATGCTATTTTAGCAATTTTCAGGAAACGGACGTTTCTGTCCTTCTGGGAAAACAATGAAAGTTTAATAATAGTTAAAGTGATAGCTTGGAGGAAACTGGTACACACTATGTGTCTCTTTTAGCCTTGCTGTTTATATAACTGACTACAAGAATTGTATAATTTGACCTTTCTTCTAAATCTTTTGGTTTGGGGGGGGGAGTTGTTTTTGCTTGTTTGTTTGTTTGTTTGTTTTCCAAGTGTTTCTGGCTGTGTTTCTGGCTGTGCTGGAACTCAATTTGTAGATCAGGCTATACTCACAGAATCCACCTGCCTCTGTCTCCCGAGTGCTGGGATTAAAGGCCATGCCTGGCCTAAATCTTTTAGAAAATGCTTTTATTAGCATATGTTAATTATACATAACGATTGACTTCACACCGACTATATCAGTTACTGACCAGAAGAAACTTGGGGATCTTTCAATTACACACCCGATCACAGTCGGTCACTGAGAGGGGTCAGGGCAGGAGCTCTGTCTAACAGGAGCAGAGGCTGGAAGCATGGAGGAGGGCAGCTTATCCGCATTCTCTCCTGGCTCGCTCAGCTTGCTTTCTTATACAGCCCAGGAGCATCTGCCCACAGTGGGCTGAGCTCTCCCACAGCAACCATTAATCAAGAAAATGCCCCCATACAATGTCGTACACAGTAATCTGATGAAGGCATTTTCTCATTTGAGGTCTCCTCTTCCCAGGTGGCACCAGCTTGTATCCAGTCGACAAAACCAACCAGCACAGTGACCTTATCATACACGCCTTCCTTTCTGTTACCCTGTCTTGTCTCCTCAGAGCCACTGATTGCCTCCCTCACTACCCCCAATTGCCTGCCTTCTTCTACTTTTAGGGATCCTCATCAGGGTTCCTTCCCTGTTTTGCTTTGACAAGTTGACACAGCCGGCAGCCATGTGACAGGAAAGCCTCAATGGATCAGATTGGCCTAAGGGCATGTCTTCAGGGGATTGTCTTGATTACTAAGTGATGTCCAAGGGCTCAGCCCACTGTGGGTGGTGACATCCTGGATTGTTTAAAAAAAAAAAAAAAAAAAACAAACATGATAGCTCAGTGTGAACCTGTGAGCAAACCAAGCAGTCAAACAAACACATTTCTGGCCTGAGGAATTGCTTCCTGACTTAGGCGACCATTTTGCCTCATGAGTCAGGAAAATGTGAGCATGTGCCTGGTGAAGGTTAGGGTTGATGTTCCTGGTGCATTCCTTCTGTAGTTCATCCCTTTCCGCTTGAAGCCTCAACACAAAGGAGTTTAAAGGAGATGGGCCATTTCAAACCTACATTTCTGGCTGAGTATCCTTCCTCCAAACTCTCCTCTTAGACATATGCAGTAAGTTATCAAGATCACAGATCGCAAAGATATTCCATAAAACTATGGTAATGCATCTTCATTAACGTACTGACAGAATTTGCAGAACTGTTCTGGCGACAATGTGTTTTCTTGTAATTAGACTTCTCCATGCTCTGGGGACTTCATGGGCTCTTGAAATGTATTTCTGTAACATTCCTCTGAGGCAAATGAGGAGCAGGTGTAATTATGTCCTCTTCACACACGGGCAGGCGAACACAAAGGAATGGACTGAAATACACAAGGAAATGAAGCAAAAGGCCCAAATGGTCCCAATGTGACCCACCTCCCCCATCAGCCTGTTTCATTTGTGCTATGGGAACCTTGGAAGGCATTGTTCTGTCATTTTTTTTGCTAAAGTGGAAAACAAAATTCCTTGAGGACATCTGAAGCAAGGAATAAGGCTGAAGAATATGGGCGAGGGGAGGCCAAGTCTATGGAAACCGAATCACATTTCTACAGATAATGTGATCAGGGCTCTTCAACGATAAGTTCTACCAGCCTCTGATGAGTCCATCCACGTATTTGCTAGAGAAGCAGGCAGAAGATGGTGATTCTAAACTAATAGACACGCATGGCTGCAAACCTCTGAAAGCATTCAACGTTTTGGGAAGCCTATACAACTGGGAAATTTTCCAAATTATAGTAGTTTTCAGGGTAACAGGCTTCGAAGGCGTGCTGCCACTGGCCAGATGCCATATTACTGACACTAAAGAACAAATCCACAGACCCCAAGAAGAGAAACAGCCCAGAGCCCGAACTGTTAACCCTCTTTGCTACAGTGCCTCGGTTTTAGAAGAGGTTCATAATGAAAAAAAACTAGGCTCTTTAGGAATTCTTGATTTTAATAACTTCAGGGCTGGGGAAATGGCTTAGTGGATGAAGCAGCTGCTGGACAAGTGTGAGGACCAGAGATCAGATCCTTAGCACCCAAGTGGCAGTGGGTCCGTGTGGCAGCTCCGTGTGAGAGGCACTCAGAGGATCCCAGCAGCAAGCTGGCTAGCCAGACTAGCTGAAATGACTAGCCCTCTGGGGTCAGTGTGAGACTTTGCCTTGTTCTATAAAGTTGTAGAGAGAGGGGAAATACCTGATTTTGGCTTAAGCCTCCCTCCCACACACAGACACACATGCACACAAAGACACACACACACACACACCAATATATGCATACACACACGTAAAGCACTGGTGAGCACACACATACACACAAAATGCATGCACACACGTACACACATGCACTCATGAGCACACAGACACACGTGTATATGCACATGCATATACCACACATACATACAAACACACATTTTTAATTAATTTAACACCCTCACCTTCAAGCCATGGACACCAAATCAGGGTCAGAGTTAGGCTTGGCCGTTTTCAGACCTGCAGCTTCCACAAGGCCCAGCATGCTCCCCATGCATGGCCCACAGCAGAACATATCTCTTCTTCGTGCCTCTCACCTACACCGGCTCTGTAACTCGAATCTTTCCAGACGTCTCCCTTGCCAAAGACCTCGAGACTGCAGGAACTAAAAGGCAGCTGGGGGCCTCTCTCTCTCAAGATTCGGGATTTTGCTTTTCTGTAAGTATTATTCTTTGCCAAGTAGAGGACATTTTGGAATGTGGAATTCAGTTCAAAGATGGGACAGAAATGAATAAAATTCTCAAAAAAAAAAAAACAAGTCAGATGATAGGATGGAAAAACAGCTGTTCTGCAGGGTGTACGAGTTCAAAACTCGAAGATCCAAGGAGTCTCATGAGTCCCTGTGAGCGTGGCACTCCTCCTGATGCTCTGAGAAGGAGCTGGAAAGATGGCTCAGCCATAGGCAACAACGGCTGCTCTTGCAAATGATTGGCGTTTGATTCCCAGCACATACATGGTGGCTCACAACCATCTCTAACTCCAGCTCCAGGGGACCCAATGCTTTCTTCCAGTCTCCACAGACACCAAATATGCACACAATTCAGGACATACATGCAAGCAAAGCATCCATTCACATAAAATAAACATTTTAAAAATAATAAACAAATTGGTACCCAAAAAAAAGGGAAAGATTCTTCTGTTCAAATCCAGCTTGCAACTTAAGTTACTTGGTGACTAGCTTCTCCAGTAATGCTTTGGGTTCTTGTTTGTTTCTTTTTCAAGACAGGGTTTCTCTGGGTAGTCCTGCCTGTCCTGGAATTCACTCTGTAAACCAGGCTGGCATCAAACTCACAGAGATCCACCTGCTTCTGCTTCCCCAAGTGCTGGCATTAAAGGTGTATGCCACCACTGTCCGGCTATGCTCTGAGTGTCTTTAAGGTCTTTGGTTATGGTTGCTGTTGTTATTTTATTTGAAATCTTTGACATCATCTACGTTAATGGTCTGTCCATCAATAGTCTCCATTTTTCATAATGTCATAAATTCTTGACTCTTCATATCAGTAGATTCTAGACTCCACAAATTCAACCAGCTTTATATTTAAAATATTTTTAAACTGCAACTGTTCCAAGCATGTACATAAAGATTTTGGGGCCAGCCAGGGCCACATAATAAGACACTGACAAGAAAATAAATAAATTAACCACCCAGAAGCAAAACAAACAAAACCCAACTGTGGTGGTCTATGCCTATAATCAGAGCACTTGGGAGGGAGAAATGAGTAGATCTCTATGGAGTCAAGGTCAGCCTGGTCTACATCTAGTTTCAGGCCATCCAGGGCTTCAATAGTGAGACTCTAACACCCAAAAAGAAATAGAAAGAAAAAAAAAAAGACACCAATCAACATGTATTGACTCTGTCAAAATACCCTAAACAACATAGATCATCAGGAATAGAGCAGTTGTGTCATATTGAGTATTATGAGCCAATTAAGGGAAAATGTGTGCCCATTCATAAACCAGAGTCAAAGTCAATGTCTGTGGGGTCCTTGAGTTACTATCTGAAGATACTGGGATATGATTATCTATGTAGGATGGGTATAGAGACACTGCTAGAACAAACTTCTCTTACCCCAAAATTTCTTGGCTCTCTCCTAGTTTGTGCCAATATGCCTCTCAGGTCTGACCTTAACTGTGCACACTGGTCAAATGAACCATGTAAAGAAAAAGAAAACAAAAATCATGGAAACAACAGCCTTCGCAATACCCTCAAATAATGTTACATATCTTCGGGTAACTCTAGCCAAGCAAGTGAAAGACTTGTATGATTTAAAAATAAAATCAAGTCTTTAAAGAAAAGAATTAAAGAAGATATCAGAAGATGCAAGGATCTCCCATATTCGTGGACCAGAAGGATTAATATAGTAAAAATGACCATACTACCAAAAGCAATCTAGAGATTCAACACAATCCGCATCAAAATTCCAATATAATTCATTAAAGACCTTGAAAGAACAATTCTCAACTTCATATGTGTGTGCGTGGGAGGGGGGGGACAGGATAGCTAAAACAACCCTAAACAATAAAAGAGCTCCCTGATTTCAAGTTGTACTACAGAGCTATAGTAATAAAAACCACATGGTATTGACATTGAAGGCCTCTAAGACAACCTCCCCCCCCCAAAAAAAAGAAACTGAAGAAAAAAAAAAAGCCATTGAAAAGAGTCTTTAAAAATTGTCTATAACTCCAGTTTCAGGGGACGCCCTCACGAAGATGTACATGCAGGCAAAACATAATGCACATAAGATAAAAATAAATTTTAAAACATTGTGATAAAGATGCTGTGGGAGGCGCTAAGTTATCTTTAAGGATCTGGCCATGGGGAGTTTGACCCTGTTCCAGGGAGTTGGACTTGGGGTAATTTTTTCCTTCATTTTTTTGGGGGGAAGGATACAAGGATGGGAGGGTGGACCTGGAAGGAATGAAAGAGGAAAAAAGTACCTTGTATAAAATTCCTAAATAATCAATAAAAATGCTATATTGGAAAGAAAAAACTGAAGAAAAGCTTCTGTAAGGCAAAGGACACCATCAATTAGACAAACAGACAGCAGCCTAGAGAAGGAGAAAGATTTTTACTAACTCCAAATCCAATAGAGGCTTAATATCCAAGACACATAAAGAATTAAAGAAACTAGATGTCAAAAAACCAAATAATCCAATTTTAAAATGGGGAATAGATCTAAATAGAGAATTCTCAATAGAGGAATCTCAAAAGGTTGAGAAACACTTCAAGCAAAGTTCAACATTCTTAGCCATCAGAGAAATGCAAATCGAAACCACTTTGAGATTCCATCTTACACCTGTTAGAATAGCTCAGATCAAAAACAAGGAACACTCATGCTGGCAAGGATGTGAAGCAACAGGAACACTCCTCTATTGCTAGCGGGAGTACAAATGTGTACAGCCACTATAGCAGGTCCTCAGAACACTGGACATCCATCTACCTCAGGACCCAGCTATACCAGTCTTGGGCATATACCCAAAAGATGGCCCATCATACTACAAGGACATTTGCTCAACTATGTTTACTGTGGCTTTATTGATAATAACCAGAACTGGAAACAACTAGATACCCCTCAACTAACAGTTAAAAAAATTGTGGTGCATTTATATAATGGAGTACTACTCAGCCAATAAAAAACAAGCAAACAAACAAAGTGACATCGTGAAATTTGCAAGCGAATGGATTCAACTGGACAAAAATAATTTTGAGTGAAGTAACCCACACAGAGAAAGAAAAATATGGTAAGTATTCACTTATAAGTGGATATTAGCTGTAAAGTAATAAAAAAAAATAAAAATAAAGCATGCTCCAATCCACAGACCCAGAAAAGCTAAGTAACAAGAAAGGTTTAGGGATGCAAGGTTCTTCCTGGGAAAAAGAAACAGAACATACTTCACAGGTAGACAAGGGGTGTGTGGGGTTAGGAATAAAGGTATGTGAAGGGTGGACACTAGGAGAAACAATGGAATTGGGGGCATTTTAGGGGCCTAGAATTGATTGTGTTGCTTGGTTATTAGTAGCCATACTTAGGCAGATCTATAATGAAAAAGGAAACTGAGAAAGGGAAATAAAAAATGTATAGTTTGAGGACAAAAGGGACACCAGAAAATGTAATAAGTAGAGTCCAGTCCAGTGCTCAACGAGACAAAAGGTTTAAAGAAACCCAAATGCTAAATGGAATAAAGGGGAAGACCCCACCCACGTAAGCTTCCAGCTTGTGAAAAGGAATTAAGAAAAAATTTAAAGCCAGTTGATGGTAGCTTATGCCTCTAATCCCAGAACTCAGAAGGTAGTGGCAGATGGATCT